AAAGGAAACCTTTTAAGTTATTCTGTGCAACAACCTTAAGTAACTCCCTCAGCTAAGGAGAAATTAAACCTTAAGTGTCAGACTTAAGTAGAAAACTTGAGGTGCTTCATGCAACAGGCCCCTGGTCTCTGGGCTTCATCTGTTGTTCTGAACACATGGACTGAGATCCTACACGCTGGGAAACAGGCTGCTGCTCTGTGTGACTGAAACCACTTAGCTCCTTCACTGTCCAGCTGTTTGCAGGGGTTTAGGAGTCACACAACTATGTGGAAACCTGCGAGTAAAGAAATACACAGAACTGGAGAATGAGAAGGGAGGGAAAGACAGGGGGCTGGAGTAACCTCATCATGTAACCTTTGAACTCCAGGGTGCCTGGGGACATAGACGAAGTCAATGCCCTGAAGCTGCAAGTGGATCAGTGGAAAATCCCAACAGGACTGGAAGACCCACACATCCCAGGTAAACACACACACACACACACACACACACACACACACACACACACACACACACACACACACACAAACACACTCTCTTTCTCATCAGTCTTTAGCTATAATGCAGCAGTTTGTATTCTATAAGGAGGAGGAGGAGGAAGATCACTGCTGGTCCTCTGTGGACCTGGTCCTGGTTTCACACTGCTGCCATGTACAGGAGGTCGGCCTCATGAACACTAACTCCCTGTGTGTGTGTGTGTGTGTGTGTGTGTGTGTGTGTGTGTGTGTGTGTGTGTGTGTGTGTCCAGCGTCTCTGCTGAAGCTCTGGTACCGGGAGCTGGAGGAGCCACTGATCCCTCATGAGTTTTATGAGGAGTGTATCAGTCACTATGACAACCCAGAGGCAGCTGTCAACGTGGTGCTGGGTCTGCCACACATCAACAAACTGGTGCTCTGCTACCTCATCCGCTTCCTACAGGTAACAAACAAACACACACACACACACACACAGATAAGGGGTGTGAAGTGGAACCTTAACTGCAACCCAAGAAAGAATTGAAAAAGCTTTAAAATATCTTAAATGTGACTTAAGTCAACCTTTAGAAAGCTCTGCTGTGTGTTGTGTTTGCAGGTATTTGCTCAGCCTGCCAATGTGACCATCACCAAAATGGATGTGAACAACCTGGCCATGGTCATGGCTCCCAACTGTCTGCGCTGCCAGTCCGACGACCCCAGGGTGATCTTTGAGAACACCCGCAAGGAGATGTCCTTCATCCGGGTGCTCATTCAGCGGCTGGACACCAGCTTCATGGATGGAATCCTATAGCCCCCCCACCACCACCCACCACCACAACACACACACACACACACACACACACACACACACACACACACACACACACACACACACACACACACACACACAGACCATCGATACTCTACACTCCCTATAACCCCCCCATGACAGGCCTCTACACTCTCCCCCAGCACAGGACCATCATACATACATCACTGCTGCTGGGTGAAAACCTTGTATCTCCAACATGTTTACATCTCTGGAACTAATACAGTTGATTTGTTAGTTAGTTTGAGTTTGTCCACTTTGAGTTGAACCAGCTGTTTTTTTCTATTTCTGTAAATGTCGTCTTTTAACTAACACTTACATAAGAAACACTAGTATTGGAGTTACAAGGTTTTCATATGATAACAGTACTGTGTGTGCCTTCACATACATGAATAGACTCTCCACATACAGTCTGAAGGAATCAGCAGGGATCTCATCGTCTCATTGGATTTATGTTTCACTGGCACACTCAGAGGTTCAGATCAGATCAACCTGTGTCCAAATAAACTGGTTTCTCTTTGTTTTCCCCTGCTAACACACACACACACACACACACACACACACCACACACACACACACACACACACACACACATCAGTACATGCACACGTGTACATACTAAGTCTTGCCCCATGATTTCACCTTCTGCAGATGCCATCACCAAACACAGAGCAAGAGTCCAGCTACAGGTGTTAAAGTCTCTCTTTCTCTCTCTCTCTCACTCACACACACACACACACACACACTGGCTGAGCAACACATCCATAGGGTTCAAAACCAGACTTTCATCAGATACATGGCCTAACTGCAACAGTCCATCAGTATTTTATTAGATCAGGTTGCCCCTGCTTAGATGTATGGCTCAGACACCAGGTTGAAAGGTGAAGCTCTCACAATGTTTGACACTGCCACAACTCTGTACTCCTGCATGTGTGACCCTGCCTTAAGATAGCAGACGTGTGCTGTTTCCACAGGACAGAACATTTCATTCTGTTGGTCAGATGTTTTCTGTCAGGCAGTCATAAGGTGACAGCTCTGTTGAGCACTGAGTGAGGAGAACATGGACACTGAATCACCCATAGTTTGACCTCAAGGTGATGGTAGACACATAATTATAGACAATATAGACATTCTACACATTTTAAAGGAGCTATTTGTAAGTTTTGCTATTGCTACATAGCTAACGTTGGCATTAACAGCTGTTTACTTACCAGTCTGGAAGAAATGTGACTTCAGCATCAAACTTCATTCCTTACTCAACAGTTGTCTCCAGAGGTGGAAAGCAACCATCTTGTTTTGCTTCTATTTTTATCACTTCTTTTCTTTTGCTGAAGTTGGCAAGCTAACCAGCTAGCTCCAGCCCGGTCGGACCGTCCTGCTACTTCCCAATACCGTCACTGTAGTGTAGCATATGATTATTATACCCTTGTTTTGTAAACACAGTGACGGATGAAGCTCTTGCTAAGACTGCTACGTAAATAGCTGTTAATGCTAACACTGGCAATGTGTCTATATCAAAACTTACAAATAGCTTCTTTAAGTATGAAGTGAATACAACACACTGAACTCATTTCAACTTCAATTTAATTTACAAAAGTCTAATATTTCCTCTTGCCTGCTGAACAGTAGTCACCTCTTCCAGCTGCAGTTCAACCACGAAGCTCAACTTAAATGAATAATTTTCAGTTGGTTCATCCATCTGTTCATTTTCCATGTCACAATGATTTAATTAATTATATTATTGGGAATTATTATTATAAATTGCTGAGTAATAACCTAGTGAAAACTTTCAACAGTATCATGGTGAAACAGCTATTAAATAACTTTTTGTCTGACTTGGTGAGTCCTGCAGAAACCCTGTTCTTAGATGTGTGCATACTAACGCCTGTAACATACGACATAAAGACTGCTAACATTGCAGGTACTGTCCACATGTAACAGAATGAATCTGGACTGAGCTGCACACTGCTGTCTATTTATAGGATTCATGCTAACAGTTAGCATACAGCACGCTGACTGTCAGCAGTGTTATCAGGCACATTGCTAAAACTTGTCTGATCATGTGAAGAAACATTATGAGCTGCTGAGTGAGAGAAACTCATTAGTTTCCCATGTAGCAAAAAATGTCATTGAAGCTTTCACGTGCATCTAAATAAAGTCATTACTAATACAACACCAATACAACCAGTGCAGGTGATTAAAAATAAATTGGTCTTACTCATTAACAGACTTGACAGCAGCTCTATGCTAACACTTGAACAGCAGCCACTGCCACCACAAGTGACAACTATGAATTAATTGTGGATGCTAGACCAGTGGTTCCCAACCCTTTCCAACTCATGGCCCACTTGAAAATCTTAAAAATGTTGGCGGCCCACATCTGACCCCATAACAGTAAAGAGGATAAATAACTTTTTTAAACAAAAAGCAATGTTCTCAGATCACTTTTTATTTTAGTGATGACGATGAAACATCCAGGACTGAACTGAAGCAGTGGAAGGGGTTTTGATGTCCATGTTCTCATCAGTCATCACAGGTGTGGGCAGTCATGTGACATGTGAAGCCAACCAGACCTAATGATTTTGAAGTGTTGACTTCCTCCTTCTTGGCTGAATTGATCCAGTGAAGCCTTGGCTCCATGACAGATGACTGTGTGTCCCTGGTTGTAACATGTAAACGGATGATGAGGTGATCTTGCTGAAATCTGGTGCCAGTGTTCGAGGCCATGGCTCCAGCTGTCGACCACAGCCCTCCTGAGCATGAGCCACAGATACCAGAGGAGGGCTGATAGCAGCACTGCCAGTTAGCATGCTCGTACTTCCTTGGAGGGATTTGAGAAGTGCCACCCCCCACCCCAGCCCCATCCTCCTACCCCAACTGACACCACAGAGCAACAGTTCACCACCACCACTGAGCCCCAACAGGCCTTTCTGCTCACTAATGATTTGTGAATGTGATTCGTCTGCGTGCTCGTCCGTCTTCCTGTCCGTCATTGTTTACAAACTGTAGTCGTCTCTTACATTCATATGGTCTCCGTCTATGAGCAAGTACTGTTGTTGATTGAGTTCATCTGAGATTTTGCTGTATTTAACAGAATTTCTATGTTTTTTAACCCATTCTTTTTATATGATTTAATTTATTTATATTTATTTGAGATTTGAATGCCTTCTTGCGATATTGTACTCTAGGCTCCGGTGTTTTTGTTACGACACATGAGCATATGTATGTGTGTGATTGAGTGTGTAGTTTTCAGTGTGGTAGGGCACATACGTGTTGATGTACAGTACGACTGTGTGAACCATTCTTACTCATTTGAGGTTTTTTTTTTTGTGACACGACTTAAAGGATGATTGTGAGACACGCACATGGACCATCCTGAAGAAACAATGACTTCCATCTCAAAGGTCCTGATGACACTCAGCCTCACAGTTCATCTCTGGCTGATTGAACTGTGTCTTCATGGAGAGGCTATGATGAGTGTCACTATGTGTATGTGTAATGTGCAGCTCACTCACTCCTAACATACACACTCCAGATAGAAAACGTGTATATTGACACTGTACAGACTATGTAAAAATAAGTATATACAGAAACATGCGAGGAAAAGCACCATATGTGACAGTGGAAATTGCTGTGGAAATTAATGTAACAGGGTGGGGGGTTGTTTCATTTTCTTTCTTTTTTTTTTTTTTAAGTCTTGTTAAAATGTAAATTTTCCTCACACTGATAGAGATCTACAAGTGACAATTCAAACCCATCTCTGAACAGTCCATTCAGGCTTCCACCCATCATATATCCAAGTACCAGAAAGTGTTTTAAGCCCTGATATCTGTAACTGTAGGTCTGACTCATATCCACAGAGAAGTGGTTTGTCTGGAGGAGCAGTTTCACTTTTTAAGGCTCTGAGAAAAACGAGAGATTCCTTCATGTGTCATTGAGATGATGGGCTGCAGGAGTGAGCATCATCACTGAACCATGAGCTCATCCACCTCTAATATTCAAATTAGCAGCTAGATGCAAGAAAAACATTATGTCCGACTGGTAAACAGAACAGACTGTTTCACCAATTAGATCTCACATTTTGTGAAGAGCTTGCTATTGCTACATAGCTAACGTTAGCATTAACAGCTGTTTACTGACCAGTCTAGAAGCAACATTGAGAGTTCATCATCACCCACATTTTTTTATGAAAACAAATAACAGAGCTCACTTCTAAAATGAAGAATATGCCCTTCATGCCTGTTTGGTCACTTTACCTACTTTTGCACCCACAACTAGCTTATAGCTGTCGGAAGTAGGCGTCATTGTTTTGCTGGTTTGTGAAAATTATAAAAAATTGTCAGTCTGAGTTTCACATTGTTTATTGATCAGACAAACACTTTGTTTAAGGCAGACTGACATCTTTACACACATTCAGTTCAGTTTGTATCTGCGCATCCAGTAATAATATGGCAGATTTTGAACATATTTCGGTTAGCTTAGCTTAGCTAATTTTATCTTGGCAGAGGGAAACTGCCTATTTAGCTTTACTAAAACTGATACACCTTCCACTAACTCCACCGCTGTCTTATTTCACACCTGTAGAAACAGAGGTCTGAAAATGGTTTGAGCAGCAGTTCATAGATGTTCATTGCCCTTGTCATGGGGTTGCCAGGTTTGAACACTGTCCCAATTCTACACTAAGTGATGGCCAGCTTATTTACTACCGAGATACAATGTGTCAGCTACACTTGCTACCAATTTGCTTGCCATCCTAAGATATGTGGAACATAGCATCCTGCTGTTTTTCATAGTTCATATTTTTTTTGTTATGCAGATGAGCTCATCTGTTCAGACAGCCAATCATGTCTCAGAGACATTTCCCCATTAAAACTGTCAAACTCACTCACTCACTGACAAACAGACTTCTTTGTGAGGTATGAGTGTAGGCAAACGTTTTCATTTTACTTCCTGTGTAACCACTTAGTAAAGGAGACGCCTCGGAGAGAGGCAGCCCAGACTGACATGTTGCAGCGTGTATGAGTGTGTGTTTGTGAGAGTGTCTTTGTTTTATGTAAGTGATGGTTGTAGATAGACCCAGCAAATCAACCAATTAGCATGCAAACATTGGGTCTCCATTCTCTCCAACTTGAATTTACTAAAACGTGAGAATATACAAGGAAAACAAACTGAATTTACAGAATAGAAGTGTTACAGTATTTAGCATTAAACATCCACTAAGAAAATGATTGAGCTCTTTTTAATCCGTTTTTTCTACTTGATTCCTACTAATGATGAATTGGTCGTCGGTGTTGATGCTGTTCGTCTAATGTAAAGAAAATGATAACGAAGAGAAGGTGTGAGACAGCTGCTGTGAAACTGCTCTTCACCTCAACATCAACCCTCCAGCTTTTTCAGTTGTATCTTAACGTCCACTGTCACTGCTGTCCAAGAGACGACTGGAAGTGTAACGGACGTTGGTTTAATAAATGATTCAAATGTCAAACTAACACCAGATGCTTTTATTGTCCAACTGCGTACAAGAGCAAAAATTAAATGTTACATTTAATAAATGTACTGTACATAGCAGGAATGAAATGTGTCACACAACTAATTACAAATCAAAATTACCTGTGTTCCATAACAATAAAAACATTTGATTACAGGAGAAAAACAGAATAAATATCTGAGAACATGTAGAACCAGTCAAGTGACTCATGGTTCCACAAGTTTTTATGAGGTTTTCCTGAACTGAAAACTTGTCACTGCATCAGTGAAACTGTCTGACCTGAACTCAAACTGACCACAGTTGCTCTCCTCTATCAAAGACTAATTTACAAAGTTAACATACAGCACCAACTTTTTAAAGCCCGTTACTTCTGCAGAGTCAGAGCAGATGTTTCTTGTTCACATGTTGCTGATGTGGTCAACCATTGTGTCGGTGGATTTCCATCCCCCAACCTGCAGAACACAGAATGGACGGAGTGTGTTCAGTGCAGCGTTCCATGTGTCAGGGTCTCGATCACCTGGGTTCTTCCTGAGGTCAAGGGTCAGTCGGTGCAGAGGACGATGTGTCCTCAGTTTCTCAGCGAACTCGAGCAGCTCAGCAGGCTGAATGAAGTTAGAGCTGTTCAGGACAAAAGGCAGCACATGGAAATCATCATATAATGTCTAATAAATAAAACCTTACAACAAACAACAGCAACAACAACAATAATAATAGTGATAGTAAACTTTATGTGTGTAGCATCTGTCATATTACACAGGTTACCAGCGGTGAAAATCCTGCATTCAAATTGTCACTAGTACAGAAGTATTATAGGTGTTACATATATGATATTACTGGTATATTATTACTAATACATAACCATGTAAGCAGCATTTTAATGTTGTACATGACCCAGGTGGAGCTAAGCTGTAACAATGGATCATATTTTATAAGCTGATCATATCATTTATGTAAAACCTTGAATTTGCAAAGTAACTAACTGTAAAATAAAACTACAGTATGAAGTAGACATGATAAAGTGGTATGTTAGTCATCAGGGAACCAGGAAACAAGGCTGAGGCGTCTCTCTGCATTAGTATTTTCAATATATATAAAATGTAAAGTGTACAAACTATAGATTAACATTCATTACATACTTAAGTACATTTTTATATATGTACAGTGAAATTAAGATTCAATGAGGACTAAAATAAACGGTAATGACAATGAGGAAAAAGTACAGGTCAGGAGTATTTTCACATGAGATCTGAGGTATGACTTCACACTATGACTTTTAGTTGTGGTGTGAGGAGCAGTGATGGCTGGCATTAGGGGAGTGACTCTGGGACGCCAGTGATCACTGTCTAGCCTCCTGGAGGTGTCGTGGGACCAACTAGACGAAACACTGGTGAAAGGAGGTTCCCACCTGATGACCCCAAAGACATGTTAGTTATCACTGCTCATTAGTCTGTATAGCTAAATTAATAGTTATCATAGGACTTAGGGAGCTATTCACTGAGTCTGGTCCATTTGCTGTAGCACAAGTTTCTTGTGTTTACCTTAAAAAACACACTATGTGACTGCTTTTGATAGCTTCTATATTATTTCTTAATAGCTGTGAGTTTAGTGATAGTGGGAGGAATAAGTCTTGATCACATGGGGTGTGTTGATGTGGAATTTGCACAGTTGCTGTGATCAGTTGACTTTGTTGGGATGGTGCTGCTACAAGCTAAATATTTCTTAGATAATGCAAGGCAGTTTTTAGTACATTTTTCTATCAGAATAACAATATTAAGGAATTAAATCTACAATGGCCTGTGCATTTTCAGTTCATCTGAAATGTGTGTACTTTTTATTTTTAAATTTTGCATTCATCATTGGAAATGTGATTCTTTTTAGATACATAGTGTACATGCTTTATTCAAGAATTCAACACTGAATAACAGATACAATACACATATGCTAACATTTCAGTCTCATCATCATGAAGAGTATTTTAAGCTTGACGTCAGGAGCCCATTTCTCCTAATGACTCCCTGTTTGTGAAAAGTGATCATCAGCCTATCTCACCTGATGTCCAGTCGTTTCACCGAGCTTGGTGACGATCCTGAGAACAGCTCTGCCAGCACACTCACGTTCTTGGCTGTTGACACAGATTATTCATCAGTTAAGAGACACACGTCACATGGAACTGACTGTGTGTGAATCAAAAAGACATTTTTCTGTTGAGACTCTTTAAACTTGCATTCATTGATATTTTGGCAAGAGAAACAAGCCGTGATACAACACAACATATTGAAGCCATTCAAGTGGACATGGTAAACCTGTTAGCAGGAGTCCTGTTCACCTGAGGAAGCTAAGCTCAGTATTCACTCTCCTTTAGCTGCTAAATGCTCCATCATGTTAGCGAGTCGCTATCTTTGTGTGTCTGCTGTCAAGTGTTTGACAGATAGTGTACAGTGGGTGTATTTATTAGAGGCTTTTCACTGAGAAAGGCTGATGGCTGTGGTGTGAAGATGACAAACATCCAGAAGGAGTTAGCTCATCACAGGACGAGACAACAGCCACAGTTTATATCAGTTTCTCGACTCTAAGTCACTTCTCTCTTTTACTAATAGGTCACAAAATTTCATTTTAATGACATCATGTCATAACATATTTATAATAGAAAATGTAGCAGGTAAGCTGTGTGCATTATTGTCATTAGTGTCGTGGTTTATACAGCCTTAGTTGTAAACATGTTTATTTTATGAATTAAATAGAGAACAATGTAACACATTCAGGGAAGACTAAAGTTTATTCCACACTGACAAACATACTAATGTATTTTATAGTTACTTAGACTAAAGAATTGACCAGTGTGTTAAGATACACCAGTACACAACAGTCAACATAACATGACTGTAGAGGTTGTAACAACCACAGTGAGCTGAGAGGGTGTTACTGATGAAGGATGGATGAATCATCATTAGTAATAGTGTGTAGCTTCAGTTAATGTAATCTGAATGATGCAGCCAGACAATGATCGGGAAACTACATGTTTTCTACCCAGGCTTCACATGGTGTGACTGTCACTCCGAAAAACAGACCACCACCACCACCACAGACTTTTCATTCAGAGCAACATTATTTATAGGGACGTAATAGTCCAGCCTGAGCAGCACTTGACAACAGTAAAGCTGTTGAGTAAAAACAGAAATTAAATCTCATCCCAAAAGAGTGAAAAGCTAATTTTACTGTGCCTGACATCAGACCAATCATCTGCTCTACATTATTAGAAAAATCCTTGATCAGATTTCTTATTATTTTTTAAACAACTAATTGATCACTTGCTTTCAACATGCTTGCAGACCTGGTTTCTCCACTGCTCCAGTCCAGGTGAGTGATCAATGACTTGAAGACCCAAAGTAAAGTAGCAGGAACTGTAGTCATAGATTTTAGTTCATTGCACAGGGGGCCTGTCTCTGTTTTATGTTGGATCAAGGATCCATGGTTACTGCATGTATGCTGCTGATCGCTGTACATTACAGCATGTAAATATATATATATATATGAGGCAATTTAAGTCTAACAAGTTAATAGACATACTGACTGTTTTACCAGTAGAACGGAGCCAAAACCTTTGTACATGCCCCAATAACTGTTGAATTATCTTCGGATGAAATAAAAGTAGCAGTACATAGACATTAAAGATGAGCCTTTCTTCAGATGTCTGTTTGCTGCGGGGGCTGGATTCACTTCTTTTTCCTTTAACAATCAACAAGGTATGTCATTTGCTCAGAAGCGGCAAAACATTTGCAAATAGCTGTATGAACTTCAAGTGAAATTTAGATAATGTTTTCGCACAGAATGAGGACTGTGGAATTAGACCCCTATCTTACGGTGGTGTGGCACTATGGGGAGGGAGGATGAGTGATTACAGCAACCAATAACTCTGCACACATGACATATAAGAGTTATATCAAGATAAGAACTGCTCCCACAACCACAGAGGCACAGATGTGAGGATGAGCTTACCGAGCCGATTCTGAGCCAGGCTGAGTGTGTGGAGAGAAGGCACCGACTTCACAGCAGCCACCAACTGCTGCAAACTCTCTTGCTTGTCACTCCACCTCTCAAGAAGGCGGCAGTCATTGCACTGCAGCTCTGAGAGAGGGAGAGGAGAAAGAAAAAATAATTCCTGAAGCTGAAACCAACTGTGGACTAAGACCAGTTCTGTCCAGTACTGTTTCAATGTCACGGAGGAAATCAGTCTACTTAGCTTTTATCATGGATCATCCTCCTTTTCTTACCTTCCAACTTGCAATGCATCAGTAGATTCAGGATCTCAGGAAGACAATCAGACAGCTTCATGTCTTCCAAGTTGAGACTCCTCAAGTTGTGATTTGACTCTAAAAGTTGATCACATGTCATTAACTTCATGGTACATTTGTGTTAGAGCTAGACCAGGGCTGCACAATTAATCGAAATATATTTGAAATCACAATATGACCAAATGCAACATTCAAATCACAGGAGCTGTTGTGCATTGTCTGCACCATAAACATTGTGGTGCTACAGAGACGATCTGGCCTACAAATCACATTCTCCAGATGTAAAGTTTGGTACAAGACCAACAAAAATCACGATCAACAATTGCAATATGATTTTTTTTTCCATATCGTGCAGCCCTAAGCTAGACTGATGAATCGTCCAGGCTGACTGAGGGCTGGGCAGAAACTGCACAGAGATGCTCAATGTGTTTGTAAATATCATTTAGAAACACTGTCAGCATTACATCTATAAAACATCCCACTCGGGATAAAATAAATAAATAAATAAAGAGATCCATTTCAAGTTTGTTTGTTAATCAGTGTTTTCTACCAGTGCATACAATGTCCAGCTGGGTGAAAATAGTAGCCAGACAGCTTTTTTTTTAAGCTTGATTGTAACAATAAGGTGTTAGCTGCTGAGCTGGCGTGCTGTGCCTGTGACTATGGACATATCGCAGTCTACATGTTCATATTTAACAGGGCTATTGATAAAATTTAGATTTTTTATTTGCAAATGTTTTATTGTACTTACTTACAGTAACTACAAACGTAGTTCACATCAACTTGGGTAATCTTCAGGTTATTTGTTTCATGTCACGGCACACTGTTTGTGCAGCTCTGACACTCACAGAGCAGGGGCAGAGAGATTCTGCAGACTACATGCAGAGTTGAGGAGAAATATGCGTTTTTTTGTTTTTTTTCGTCTCAAAAACAAGTGGACCTGATTAAAACGGTAAAAACACAATAACTCAGTAATTCTATATTTTTATAATCAACAAAGACCAGAAATAGTGTGTTAGTCCATCTCAATACTTTCTGATCCGAGCCCATTGGTTCCATAACTCTTTAATAACGACTCACAATCATAGTAAATGTTTGTTCTCAGAGTCATTTCATCAATCAGCTGTCACTGTGGTGTTACTCAACCGGGAGGAAATAGTGCATCTGTTGGGGACTACTTTCAGCTGTGGATTAATTTACTATAGTGAATATTTTTGGCAACACACTGTGTCAAAATAAACTGTAGTGTGGGTGTTCATGATAGTCTCACATATGCATACCTATCTTCAGAGCCCATTATCTTTCAGCTGTAGGGAAGAAATGCTCTGGCTTGCTTGCATTTCTTTAATATACTTAAAAACTTATATGTACACCTACAGCCTACATCCAGTGAGTCAGAATATTTTCCTGGTAATGAAGGAGCAACAGCGTGGCTAATTAGTTGTTTTTAATAATTTTTGGACGACAATGTAGCTCTATGGCACAGAGGACACACACAATACTTCAGATCAGCTGATTGATGGTTTGGGTCTTTTCATGTAATTAGTTGACAATAAGAAAAATATATACTAGGAGTGTAACAGTACGCAAAAGTCACATTTCAGTACATACCTCGGTTTTGAATTCACAGTTTTCAGTACAGTAGAAAAAAATGTTACTTTCAATTCATTATGAATTTAACTTGTGAACATAAACATGTAATCTTGTAAACTTGTAACCCAGTGGCAAACTGGTCAGAATTTCAACTTGGATTACTTTTGTTTCTTGAACACAACAAATACACAAAGTGCATTAAAGTGCAGCATGTAGAAAATTATTGATATATTCTATTTATTCTCATGAGAGAGAGAGGATGACATGCAGCAAAGGCCAAAAGTCAGATTCCTGGGCCGTTTGTTACAAGCTCCACCAGGTGAGACACCAGGCACTCCAGAAAGGGCAGATCTACTGGCATTATCAATGTCTCCTGAAAAAACCCTCTCGCTTGTTGTATAACTTTATTCACTAACATGTTGTAGACTGACCATCAAAACACAAAATGTTATTTAACAGAAAGTTTCATTCCTCATTTCATTTTTTCTTTTCCTTGCCATGTTACACTGAATATTTATTCATTCATTTCTATTTGTTTTATTGACTTTGATCCACTTGCTTTGTGTTGAGCTTCGAGACAGCCATGACACCTTACCTGAGAGAGTGGTGAGGAGGTGGCTGAGCGAGGAACCAGTTGGTAATCTCATCCCGGCGATGTGAACAGAGTTTAGCTGTGGGGAGCGTCTCAGCACAGATGTGATGAACTGCAGATCTGTTTGGAGCTCAGCTACTTTGACTGTGAGTTTCTCCAGGGGCAGCTCTGCTGAGAAAAGATCAGGAAACATGTAGATTTTAATCAACTACACTGCTGTGGTATTAATTCATGCAGTATGCAGCTCGTCTGATCTGAGGGTTTGTTTTGTCTGATTGAGATGTTACACTCCTCGCAACTTCTTGACACACAATCAACCTTTTAAAGCAGAAGTCAGATGACCATGAGAAAAATGCTGGGACCAAACGAGGCCTTGTCATGTCACACCCATATCTGTGAGGTGCTGATCATGTCAACTGATCTGATATTCAGCATTTTTACAATTAACCAAATCATTATTTTTTTTAACCAAATCGATTTAAAAATGCATTACTTTAGCTCTGATTCAGCTGCCTTTCCCTGTCTGTAGTCCCGACTCTTTGGTCTTGAGGACTGTTCCACCCACTGCACTGTCTGCTTGGTTAAACACTACAAGAGGTCGCCTATCAATGCTGAAGGTTGCTGTGTACACAGACCATGGGCACAGAGTGGAACAGCTCCAGTGACCGAGCAGAGCTTTGTGTTGAAAGGTAAAGCAGCAGATATCTCCAAAATTACAAAAACACCACCCTCTCAGGAGAGAGAAGCCATTATTAACTGCTAATCTAGCACTAGCAGATCTGAACAGATTTACAGAGTGATTAAAAGTAAAGTAAGGTTTGGACATGGATACAGGCAAACAGCACACACACAGTTGTCTCCATCCCCTCAGAGGATATCACATGGTCTTACATTCACTCCCTGGAGACCTAATTTAACATTACCCATAACTACTACCTAACCCTAATCCTAACATACACCTAAACTTACCATAACTTTAAAAGATGTCTTTAAAATTTAATGATCTAAATCATGTTGATTTGCTTTTTGTCTGCATAAAGAAAACAAGTCCCAATAATGAGAGTGTAAACAGATTTAGGTCCCTACAACATGAGTAAAACCTGGACCACACACACGCATCCATTTTTACGATATACGTGGGGACCTGTCACCCTTACCCTAGCCTTTATCTCATAACTGAATGCCTGACCCTACACCCAAGCCTTAACCCTCAAACAACCATTTAAACTTGTGGCCTGGGATTTTGGTAAATGTGCATGTATTGGTCAGAACTCTTCAATAACTAGATGTAAAAATAATTTTAGGTTACAGTATGTGTTTCTATGTTAACAATACACAATTATAATATACTCCAATATACTGTAATCTGATTAACTCCTCAAAGATCACCATGACATTGGCTTGAAAAACCCTTTATTGGTCGAGCTCTAGTGTCTACCCTTAGTTTCTAATGACAGTTTCCTGCTACTACTTAAAGAGATAAAAAAGAAGAAGAACTAAAGAATATAAACAGCTTGAACATTAAATGACACTATTTTATAACACTGAGACTAGTCTCCTTCCAACTACTACAGGATTTGTTTCTTATAGCTGGACTGGTTCAAGAACCTTGTGTTTCAACAGGTTCAAGGTTGTGTTTCAAATACACTTTTGATCCTGCTCATTTCAAGTGTTTACTTGACTTTGGTAGAAGCTTCACAGCACCTGACATGTCTGACTCAGCAATCCTGGGATGATGGGGTAAGAAGTGTGGTCCCAAGGCTACACTTTGGATCTCTACATGCAGGGACGTCACCTTGGGGCTTGCATCAAGCAGGATCTCTGTGAGTTTGGTGTAAGGCAGGACGCCGATGTTGAGATCAGTGAGGGAGCTGCGGCAGCTCTCAGACAGCTGCTTCAGGGCTCTGGCCAGGCCCAATACATCAGCATCCCTGAAGGTTGCTAGATAAACCAACAAAAACAGATCACTGCTACACAACTGAACAAACGTGTCATTTGGGGGTAATAATTTTATATTTAATTTTTGTCAACTGATTCTATGGATCCAATACAATAATACTGTTTACAGATGCCATGTACCCCTTAGAGTTTTTTGACAGTTCAGTGTCAAACACTACCCTCAGACTGTTTCACTCTGCAGAAAACTGATGTTCTCATTACAGGCCGACAGTCAAGGGTGTCCTGTGGAGTGACCTTTTTTGACCTCTAATTCAGCAATTATGCAGTTTTTGGGTGCTTGTTTTGTTTCTAAAGCACAAGCACTCCTAAATGCAGACAAGTGATACATATTCATGGTTTCACACCCGACCACTACAGGAGGGGGTACCAAGCTATGCAGCAGCGCGCCAACAGAGGCAGCTTTGCAAGTGTTTTATGAGGGAGGAAATGTATAAAGCATGTTTGTAAGACTTAATACACAATATAAACACAGGGCACGTTTAATTGTCAACTGTGAACCGTGCTAGAGGCACTTCTTAAACTAGCACAGATTCATTATACCAAGACCAAAATGACCCCTGAACCCCCCCACCCCCAAACCTACTGGCACATTAACTAACAAACTTACAGAAGCTGTGAAGAGTTAGAGAGCGAAGGCAGAAAAATGTGGGCAGGGCAGAGGTCAGCTCTCTGAGAGAGTGGGACCCACAATGTCTGATCTTCAGACAATCAATCTGGCCCCATGGACAAGACCCTGCTGAGGGACCACCACACGGAGTGAAGGTTTGACAGAGAACCTGTGGGTCCACAGTAAAGTGTGTATTTCCGGATTCCTCCTCCACAGTCCGAGAATCCAACTTGAAGCGTTTGCACGGGGGGGCTTGTTCATCCTCATTTTTTGAAGCCCTGGTTTCAAGACCTGGACTGTAACTGGCCCCGTCTGCACTGGCTGAAGCTGCGTGTGAAATACAGCTTTCCTTTTTGCTGTGCATGAGATTCTTCAGCTTGGGATTTACATACTGAGATCCCCTTCCATGTAGGAGCCAGGCCAGCGTGATGGGACAGTCCACATCTATGACCATTTCTTTAGCCACCCCATGGTCTACCAGGCGATGGAGAACATACAGAGCAGGTTTTGTGTTGCTCTTTGATAGATCAAAGGACTGTGGTACACCAACACTCCTGATACGTTTCTCCAGGAGGTTCAGAAGAGGCCGCTGCTCAGCTGTTAAACTTTGAAGGCGCAAACTTGTAATGAGTAAAAAATGTTTGATACATTTAGCTGCAGACCACATGAAGGATGGTGTGTTTAAATTCAAGCTGTTTCTATTGACAAAGGGGTTTCTGAAGCCATGAAATACAAGTGTAAAAAGCATTCTCATAACTTCATGTTTGGCCTCTTCTTCTGTGGGAAAGTCAGCTGCCTGAAATGTAACACAGGACACATATCACACATGGATTCTAGAGTTACTGTACATGAAACTCTATTAAAAGAGATGTTACACCCACACGGCTAGGTCCGCAAAGGTCCTTCAGGACTGTAGCCCATCCAGAGTGAGTTGATATCCCTGAGACAAGCCGAACAAAAGTTAGATTAAATTGAAACATAATTATGTATTCTTCTGATCAAATCAAAGGTATGGTCTCTATGAACAAAGGAAAAATACAGAACACCACGTTTGCAATCCAGCTATAGTTCTTACCTCTCTGATTTAGCTCAGGTTGGATCTCATCCAACTGACACACAGTCAAATGAGGAAGAAGCTCCTTAATAAGAGGCACTGGAAGATCTAAGTAGTGACAGATAAATTAGGACATTAACTCCCTCATCAATGAGTAACGGTTGAAATTAAACCATACAAATAAAAATCCCAATATGTCTACTATGAATGGGTGCTATAACACTGGAGAACAAAAACAAATATGAATTGGAACTGACAATAATCCATATAAGAAGCCAGCCTCTCAATTGTTTGTAAAATATCTAGGCTAAGACTGGACGATTAACTTTAATTGTCAATTGTGTAATTTATATTAAATTCACACTTTTGATACCTTAGGGAAATGCTCTTGAATTAGTGGTATTGTGAAATGTTATTTAGGAATATTTACTTAAATATATGGCCATAAACTTGAAACTATACTATATAACTATACTAAACTATATTATTAAAGGGGGTTCAGCGCTGGTATGTCTCCAATTATGCGATAAGTGACGTTAGGTCCATGTTAGCTTCTGCTAACAATTAAAAGTTAGCCTAAGTCCTGTTCGAAGTATTAGCTCTTCGTGATCTCCAATTCTATGTAACGTTACAGTAACATAAACGTAAACAATAAAATACGTACCAAGAACAGCCTCCATGCTCAGGGAAGGAAAATGTTCCCTGACAGCGTGGAAACAGAACTGCTTCAGACATATCTCCTTCGGGTTTGTTTGGTCTGTTTTGTGGGCAGTTTCGCGCATTGTTTAGCATTAATGTGGTTATCATTTAATTAGGATGCCAAGACAAACCAATTTACAGCAAACAGGACCGCTTCCATCCGTATCGTTGATTCAGTGGTGGTTGGTCTCCTCTGAGGTCTTTATTCCTTGACGGGGGACGGCAGTTGGCAACTGCAGAAATGGCGCATTACCGCCACCAACTGGTAAGTTATTCTTCTTCTTCAGGGTTAATGGCGGGCTACAAACCAACGTAAAAGGTGCAGACCGCCACCCACTGTACCTTGACTATACCACAGTCTGTAACTTCCGTTTATAAAGAGATTATATTCTCAATAGTTGCTTGCAAATATTTTAAAATAAGTCTTCAATTGCGACTCGCTTTTCATCGGTTAAAAATCTTCTTGAAATCCATAGACTTTTTATTTTATAACCCAATAGGACTATAAATCATAATGTAATATGAAATATAATATATTAAATCAATATTAATGTCATATATTTATATAAATATCAATATAAAACATGTAATAATGACATCTTACTAAAAGAATCTGTGAATTTGCCTGTGTTCTGCCAAAACCATGCATACAATATCATCATATGTCTTATAATAACCCTTGTAATGATAATATCAAGTTTATCATTACGTAGATTTTTCATTCTCACAACATTTGCAGTGGTGGTAGCCTAACTGCGCGCATACATGTATTCTCATATGGGGGTGACATCTCTCTTAATTCAAGTAAATAAACTATGGAGAAGTTCAATGCCAAGTTCAAGAGTAAATCCCATTTAACTACACCCACACTAATAATCCTGGGTGCTGCCAACTACTGGTGACAGCATGGTTTTTACACACTCCAAGGACCGGTGATGTCACACTCCTCACTGGTCCTACCAGGAGTTGACAGGGCAGGAGCAACAGTTTGGCTTTGAAAAGTGGTTGGCTCATGAGTGCATAGGTCTTCAAAAAATGAAAGTGGCCAGCTACACATGACATTACTGTCAATGAAACAAAAAGGGAGCTGGGAATTACCATTTAAGTTTTTATTTAGACACTGATAATGGTAAATAGACTTGCAATATTTGTAATGTGTGTTGGATGTGCTTGCACAGTAGCAGTGAAGAATTAAAAGGCCTACTGTGCTAACATGCTAACATCTATATTTGATTTTAAAACTATTACACCAGCATTGGTGACAGTCAGCATGTGTGCTTCCTTCTTACATTGGCACCAACTGATGCAGTACAGAGAACTTGAATGTATTTGATTTGTGTGCAATGTGGTATTAAAATGTGTGAGATGAATGTACATGTCTATCCTGCTGTTTTCAGATGGCTGGAATCAGCTGTGAATAACCGATAAGTTATCTTCTACCTCCACACAACTAGGTGAGCTGGGTAACTGCATCTGCATCACAGTTCAACATACACATAAGCATAACCTTTATTCCTTCTGCTTTAATAAAAAAGTTTAGTTAATAAAACAGAAAATCTCAACAATAAATAGATATCAGTATGTACAGGTGGTGGTGCGATAGGCAGTCCGTGTTGTTTCTGCTGCTATACTACTCCCCTCTGGTCCTCGTGAGAGCGCTGGTGGAAGACGAAGGAGACAGCAGCATCCCAGGAGGCTTTCAACACCTGGTCCCTCAGGCCCTTCTTACTGAAGCAGTGGTTCCACTGGGAGAGGTCACTGGTGCAGTCACAGTCATCTGCAGGAGGCCAGACCTCTCTGCCATTCACACAGCGTTGACATCGAAACCTGAAAAGAGAAGGGATGAGAGGCTGCTTCAACACATGACTTACATTATGATCATACATTGTGATGGTAAAATGAAACCACAAGGGGCCAGATGTATAAACAGTGTGCACACAAAAGTCATGTCGTATTATAAAATAATATGTGGTGGCAATGTGCGCACTGAATACCTATCACAGATTTCAGACAGCGTATATTTGGTTTTCAAGAGCAAGCTACAGATGATAAGAGGAGATGTAATATAAAGTGAGGTGAGGTGAGAGACATAAAACATTGGGCCTGACGCTAGAACATTTTTGTGTTCTTATCCTAAACTTCATACTACTGTACATGTGTGGGAATGTTACCAAAGAGTAAAAAGAAAACTTTCATATTCCTGCTGTCAAAAATAAACAGACAAAATAAAAGGGTACCACTGTCATTAGAAGTAGAGGACTTTGTTGTTCAGAATACTTTCTAAACAATCAGGTTATGTTAATGGTGCAGCTGCTAACGACGTGTCATCAGAGCTATAGTACACTATGGGGAATGTTTCAAGTTACATGAAGTTAGATGCTAAAAAACAAAGTGGTCCATTACGAATATGAGAGGCTGTCGAGGGGACATTACTGAGGTGGGTCAGGCTTAAGTGTTGGTTCTAGCAGAAGATGATACTGGACAGACCCTGAGCCAGCTCTCAGTTTGAGTTTTCCTCTCAGCATGCAAAGTTGTATTGAGAAAGAAAATGGAGCATATCACACCTCTCCTTAAATCAATGATTTGGCTTCCTGGGTGTCAAAGGACAGATTTTAAAATCCTACTTCTATTACACCCTAAATGGCCCAAAAACATCTCTGATCTACTTGAACAATACAAAGCATCCAGACCATCAGGTGCTCTGGGACAGGTTTACTCAGTGTTCCTAGAGTAAGAGCAAAGTGAAGCAGCTTTTAGTTTCTCTGCTCCTCACCTGTGGAACAAGCTTCCTGAATACCTGAGATCTGCTGAAACTGCCAGCTCATTTAGATCAGACCTTAAAACATCACTGTTTGCTGCAGGTCACCAATAATTCACATACATAACATCTTTTTAATCGTGTGCATTTGAATGTCTTATTTACTATACAGCACCCCCTTTAAAATGGTGTCCTAAGTTTGCTACCTGATGTTATGTATTTAAATATTATTTATAATCAAATCTGTTCTTAAATGCTATCTTTATTTCATCTTAATGTTCTGTTTTCATGTATTTCCATGCCTTTGTAAAGTACTTTGAATTGCCTTGTGTCTGAATGGTGCTATAGAAATAAACTTGCCTTGCCTTGTTGTATGTGATTATTTGCATAGGAATGGTTTGTTTGAAGATTTTCAGTCAGAATTTAGAGTCCATCACAGCACAGAAACAGCTGTGGTTAAAGTTATCGGTGATCTCCTCATAGCTTTGGACAATGGACTTGTCTCTATACTATAGAGATAGTACTTCATTTGATACCATCGATCACAGGATCTTATTGCAGAGACTAGAACATGTCATTGGGATTAAAGGAATCGCACTAGGCTTAAGTCATACGTATCAGATAGATTCCAGTTTTTTCATATTAACAATGACTCTCATTAACTTCTGTATGGACAGTGTAATACCAGCAAGGACTGTACACTGCTTTCCAAACAACTCAGGCGTGTGCAACATGAGCTGAAGAGGAGATTAAAGCAGGCGAAGGAGGACTACAAAAAGAAAGTAGAGAGGAAGCTGCAGCACAACAACACCAGAGAGGTGTGGAAGGGGATGAGGACCATCACTGGCTATAAAGAGAAGAACAGCCAGGCAACATCAGGTGATGTGGACAAGGCCAATGAGTTCAACCTGTTCTACAACAGGTTTGACACAGCCTCACCTGTTCTCTCTCCCACTGCTTCAGTGGTTGAACTTGCACTAGACCCCCTACAGTTTGCCTACAAGGAACATATTGGAGTGGATAATTCCATCCTTTACGTGCTCCACCGGGCTTTTTCAAGTGCATTTAACACCATCCAACCCACAGACAAGCTGGAAGGGATGGGGATGGATCCCTGCTTCACATCCTGGATTGTGGATTACCTGACAAGACAACTACAGTACGTCAGGCTGGGTAACTGTGTCTCAGGGACAGTGATGAGCAGCACTGGGGCTCCACGGGGGACTGTTATGGCTCCGATCCTGTTCACCCTGTATACGGCCGACTTTAAATACAACTCTGAGTCCTGCCACATCCAGAAATACCCTGATGACACAGCTATTGTGCCGTGTATCAGGAACGGGCAGGAAGAGGAGTACAGTGATCTGACCATGGCCTTCAGTGAATGGAGCGACAAGAACTGCCTCCTTCTGAACACCAGTCAACATTCGAGGGAAGGACATTGAGGTGGTACACACTTCTAAATACCAAGGTGTGCACCTGGACAGTAAACTGGACTGGTCCCTGAACACGGATACCATCTACCTGAAGGGGCAGAGCCGGCTCTTTTTCCTCAGGAGGCTCAGGTCCTTTGACGTCTGCAGTGAAATGCTGCACATGTTTTATTAGTCAGTGGTGGACAGTAGGGATGTCAAAAAAAATCAATACTCAGATACTAATCGATACTAAAAATTAGCATCGGATTAGATACTCATTTGCAACAGTATCGATACCAACAGTCTTCGCCTCCTCCAGTTGACACAACTTCATACAGCAGCACTGCAGATAGGCAGGCACACGGTCCCTGCTCTCACTAGCAGCTGAACACATCAACGCTAGTTGACATTCACAACAATGAGCTGGTGTTGCCAGCATAAAACTACATTAACATGGCAAGTGCTGCAGCTGAAGGACCATCGCAACCTGTTTTAGTTGAAAATGAAAAAAGAAAAAGTGCCTTTTGGAATTATTTTACCTGGCCAGCAGCACACGTTATCTTGAGCCGTTTAACTATTAGCAAATAGCAAATAGCCACATTAGCCAATAAGTTATCATTAAGCTAGCGGCTATGGCTAATAATAAAACGAGTAATGTTAATGTGGGAGCTAGGCAGCAAGCGTTATCGGTCCTGCCTGTCTCTAACGTTAATAGACAGTGTTAATTTAACAGGATAACACAATTATTTGTGTCTGAAAAGTGTTATATTTCTCTTAAAGTCCCAGACTGAAGCTGGGAAAAGTCGACCAGCAACTAGACAGAAACAGCGGCAGCCTACCAGACAACTCTATTTGATCAGCAACGAAAACATGGTGGCAAGTCACGAGAAGCACAGACAATAAACAGGGCTGTAGCTGAATATATTTGCATGCCATATATATATATATATATTTATGTATATTTTTGCACTACCTCATACAACCTAAAAATAATGTCATTGATGTTATTGTTTGTATTGTTCTAATCTTTATCAAAAAAAGGGTTAGGGTCATTTTTTTCTCCCCATGG